GAAGGTCAATGATTTTCTATTTTAAAACGTCGTACAAATGCGATCAAAGATGGTTTTGAGCAATAAAAATATGTCTAAATGACAAAATGTTGTTTACTAATCTATACGAATGTGATTATAACGACTCACATTCTCAGTCTATATATATAATGTCGCCTACGGCAAAATTTCAACTTTACTGTCTATCATTGTGGTTACTAAGTATACTTTCCCCTACAATTAAAGAAAGTTATGTGAATGTTACATAAGAAACAATAGTCGTTTGAATAATTGGACTAGATTATCTTATGTCAAAAAAAAAGTTCTAATTGAATTTTTAATATAGAAACTCACAAAACAATAATATCACCTGGTATGATCAAGCCTAAATAATGACTTAAATTTTTTTTAATATCGAAAATTCTATATAATTTATTTATTTATTGCAGAAGACTGTGCACCTGATGGTAAATGTATAACATTAGAAAATAGTTCTATGGATAAAGATGTTGATGTATCAAACTGGACATTAAAACGACGTGTTGAAGGTTCACCTGAAATATCCTATACAATTCCATATGGTTTAATTATAAAACATGGTAATGATTTAAAAATCTATGCACGTAGTGCACAAAATGCTCATCATCGACCACCATCACAAGTTGTTAATGATCAACTTGATTCATGGGGTATGGGTACAGCATGTGAAACAAAATTATTTAATGAACAAGGTGAAGAAAAAGCATCACATTCACAAAAAATTGTTTTCGGTTCGGAATCATCACGTCATTTACCTTAGTAAGTTATTTTCTATACAGCAAATATTTTTTTTTGTCAATGAGCAAGAAAAAGTCAGTTTATTTTGTATCTAGTAATGTTGACTGGTCAGATTGTAAGTGAATATTATTACAAAGGGAAATACTTTTTTTTTCTAAGAGCGGGGGCAATTTGCATGAATCGATCGATTCTTTGCATGAAATTATGTTAATTTATTAAAAAATAATAATTATGTATTTATTTATTTTATAGAAATCTGACAAAAAGAATAATTGATTATTCATCAAGCCAGCGAAAAATAGACATTTACACACATTTTTCTCTTTTTTCCTGTATATAGAATATTTAACAAAAAAAAATCAATACAATCCATTTCTTTTATCTTTATCATCTTATTTCTTTAGTAGTTTAAATACAATGATCACTGTTTTAAAAAAAAAAGAATTCTTTTGTTTTTTGTTCTATCTGAAAGAATAGTTTAATCTTAGGCAACAAATTCTCTCTCTCTCTCTTGTTTTGTTTGTTAATTCTAATTGTCTGCTTGCGTTTTTTTTTTGTTTTCGTTTGTTTTGTCTGTTATTAGTGAGGGATCCTGGCTGGCAAATCCCACCTTTTTTTCTTTTTGCTCTTTTGCTATAAGTTTTATCGTCGAACTTTATCACATACGCGCTGTATCCTTTTTTCTTTTAACAGAATAAAAATTGATAAAGTTCATGAAGAATATTAATTGTGTGAGGAAATTCGAAAGTATTACATGAACAATCGTTAAACGATGATAACTATGTGTTATATTACACAATCGAAAGGTCGTATATAATGAATCGAATAAAAACATATCTCCATCGAATATAACACAACAATGATTAAATCACATCATTATTCTTCATATCGAAAAAAACGAAATTTGTATGAATTATATAAAAACAGCACGTCGTTTGATTGTATTTAAAAAAACATAATATTTACATTAAACATAAGTTTTGAATATCGTATGAAAACGACTAATCGATAGTATTTCGATTTCAACTAGTTAAACTTGTTCACATCTGGTTCAATGGCTTATTAAAAATTGATTATTTTTACATTAACGTCATATCATTAACAATCGTGATGGATATTTTTGTCCCACTAACAACATACGGTATATTGAGTACAAAATTGTGACATCTAAAAAGGTTAAGTGCATATATAAATCATTCGTAAATAAGCCTTCATAGTCGGTCACAGATGAATGAATATTAAATTTAAAGCAACACAAAACAATAATGATTGATTCAATATCATTTCGAATATAAACAGATCACCTTTTCAATTATATCGGTTTTCGACAGTAATCATAACGGTCGTCGCGAACCGGGGTGAGGAGTGATCCCATAATGTTCGCGACAGTATTGTATAAAATTAAGATGATGGTGAATTCTCTCTTGATTGAAAATTTAACTTGTATGATAAAAATCGAGATAAATTTATTGATAATTTAGAGTTTGTTGAAAGAGAACGCTTTATAAAACATTGATTTAAACGTTTCATCTATTAATCTATCTGACTATCTTCATGTTTATTATAGATGTTTGGTGATCGACGATTTATAATACAACGAAAGACTATGATCAGATTAAAATCTGTATTTTAATTATATATATTTTTTTAATATTATAAATAATGTATCTGATAAAACTATTAAAAGTTGTAATTTGTTCTTATCTATATGATATTATTTTGAGTCAGGAAAGTTGATGAACTACTGAAAATATTTGTTCATCGCTAGAACATTTTACTGCATGAACAAAATGTTGGAATATATTTTCGGATTAAACAAGAAATTCTAGTGTCAGTGCTTTGATAATACAAGTTCTGTCACATTAATCAGATCATTCAGAAGATAATAGCGTTGATAGAGTTTGATATCTTATTTTCATTTATATCCAGGTCCAGTTTTTCGATCAGTTATAGTTGTACTAATTACTTAAAGTGTGACATAAGTCAACTCAGGATGTAATATTATGGGATAAATGCGAATCATAGAGTTTATTCATGTAACAAATAAATAGAGCAAAATGTCACTAAAGTGTAACAAATATCATTTTATTGCTCTACAGTTTATATATTTTCTTTCAAATCTTCGACTATTGTAACTATCCGATATTTCTTCATCAATTACTTTAAATTTTTGCTTCTCTACAATGTCTTATACTATCAAAATGTATTGTTTGATTGTGCATATGTTGTACGATATCTATATCGATATACATAATTTCTCCAAGGTATTGAAAAGTATTCGTTTGGGATCGATTAAAAAGATTAGCAAGAATTTGGGCCATTATATGAATTTCTAAATGTTGTTTACATCCCTTTAGCGTATTATATCTTGAATCAGTACTAATAAACTTTTTACATACAATATCTATCATCGCTAGCTCGTTTTTCATAATAAATATATCCTAAACTTTCATGTACAAATAACATATAAATTTAGTTATCAATAACGGATACATGTATGAATTAAATCATCTTGCTTTTGAACATCACATCCAGATTTTGATATTTGATATATGTAGCGACAGTTTACAAGCAATACGATTCTTTAGATTATTATTTACATAATGATTCGATTTATAAACTCGGATTAGACTATTCAAGGGTTTCAACTGCTTCTGAATTACTTAGAATGAATAAAGAAGAAGAAGAATTATATTTATCATAGAAAGAGACAGATTTTATATATTCAGACTATAGTCAGCATATCCAGTTACAGTTATATGATCTATGAATTTCCAGAAAGCATTGACATGAGTTGTAAAACTATATAGAACAAAGTTGTCCTCTATTTGATTAATATTATGGTAAACAATAGAAGCTAGACGTGACGTCATTCGAAATAATGCGATCAACATCTTTTACCAAATGGTTAATGATATTTTTGACTGACACTATATACGGTCCCATATTTCCAGTACAATCCGTCAACGCGATATATATCTATAACTGATCAATCTCATTTTTTCGTCCCTCAATAATAGTTTCTGATATTCATCAAGTAAACATCATCTAGTTTCAAGAACAGATTGCTGTTTCGATAAATTAATCGAATATTATTTTGTTATTCAGCAATAGTCACCGAAGAGTAGTATATATGCACTGCTTTAAATAATATTTCATGATATAATAGTAACATTCTTCGAACAATTATGTTAAATTAAGATATTTATAAAAAAAAGAAATCCAAAATAAAATATAACAAGTCACGTAATGTCTTATTACAGTGTTGTGCTTTTTTCTCATAAAAGAATAAAAACATCGAGGGTTATTTTTTTTGTAAATTGTTCTCTTGAACTATCTGTTGTAATTTTCATATATATATTTTTAAGGGCAAAAATTAATGGCTAAAATTAGAAGAAGAATGAAATATGTACTTCATTTTGTTTATCTTTCACTGAAACATATCAAACAAGGATGCGTCATCTGTTACATAAATAATATACAGTTGATACTACATTTTCTCATTAAGATTATCGTAATAATCATTGTTATATCATTGAAAACGTTAGTCTATAAACATCGTTTATATTACTATACTAAATAGAAGAAAAACCTAAAAGTTGCCAATACTTTTAATACAATGATGTATATCTGTTATTTCAATATTAATATTTAATGAATAGTAATAAAACAAATTAAACAAAAAACTCGTTAAATATTTATCGTTTAAGAGATTTTGTAAGTGAATCTAGGCAACAGAAATTAAATATTTATGAATAGTTTTGATTCGTAGAGAAGGAATAAAAGATTTTTCTGTCTATTAGATTAACTTCTTATATTATTAACTGAAGACATATGAAAAATTATTTAATTATCTTGAAAAGAAAACTTACGACTAATTGATTTTATATTTATTAAAAACATTGTTGCTAAAAACAACTCACTTGTTTTTGAGGTCTATATGACATTTTGAGACTGTATACATCTGATAGATTCATAATATACTTACGAATGCGTGAAAGATATTTGTTTTTTCTTTATTACAGAATTATTTGAAATCTAGGAAAACAAGACAATCGTAATCTTATTATATATACGCTGTAGAAATAAGTCTACTAAAGTTGTTTGTTATCGTCAGTTGACATATTCAACCCTTTTCTGATAAAGACAAATGGATATGTCATTAGTTTTCTTCAATTATTTGTAAATCTCATACTTTCATATATATTATTAGTTTCAGGATAATCATCAATAAGGTTGTTCAATCGAACATAAGACTTATTTCTCAATTCAATTTAGATTTATCGAGAGAACAAAAAAAGAA